ATACAGTGCATGGGTAGCAGGATCCCGCATGGCCGGTGTGGTTGGAGACTCAGCCCCAGGAGCTTGAAAACCACTCCAGATGCCTGTCCATGCGTGCCCACAATCCTGACGGGATGGAGAAACGAGGGCACAAGTATTGCAGTGTGACTGCCCTCTTGGGGGATACTTTCTGTCTCTGTGGTGAGTGCTCATGTCCTTGAGCAATTAAAAATACAATAAAATAGGGACCAGCAGGTGGTGTAGTGCTTAAGGTGCTGGACTCCCACATGGCTGACAGTGGTTCGAGTCCAGGACCTGGCAGCTTGCTTTTTCTCTCTCTCTGATCAAATAAAAAGTAATAATTGAGACCAGTAGATGTCATAGTTGCATATATAGCTAGATTCCCACATGACCGACCGCAATTTGAATCCCAGACCCAGTGGCTTGAAAATCATCTGGGCGCGTGTGCTTGTATGCCCAAGATCCCGAGAGGAGAATAGAGAAGAAGGGATTATGGCATGGCCATCCCCCTGGAGGGTGAGTTATCATTTTCCCTCTCACTGTCTCTGTCTCTCTCTTGTGAGTACACATGCCCTAGGGCAAAAACCTTTAAAATAAAATATATATATATATAATGAAATAAAATTAATTTAAAAGTTATGATAGTAAATTTTATTATTTTTACAATTCAAAAATAAAACAAAGGGGCTGGCAGGTGGTGTGATGGTTAAAGGCACTGGATTCCCATATGGTCAACCGTGGTTTGAGTCCCAGACCTGGCAACTTGCTTTCTCACTTTCTCTCTCTCTTTCTCTCTCTCTCTTGTTCTCACTCACTCTGTCTCTCTCTGGTCAAATTTAAATAAATAAAGTGAAATTAAAAAATTTAAAAATAAAAAAATACATATAACATGCTCAAATACATGAACTAATTGATCAATGAATTAAATTATTGGTATCCTGCTTGCCCCAGAGGCTGCTCACCTGTGAAGGAGGAAGTGGGGTACTGCTGGTCTCCTGGAGTGTACCTGTCCCTCAGATCCATAGAAACATGGGGTCAGAGTCTGCATTCTGCTGCCTCCCTATCTAGTGCGTGCTTTCTACCTCCCTGCCCAGCACAGTTCAAGATGTGGCTTTCAAAAACAACTGTGAACAGTTCTATTCCCTGGCACTTTTTTTTTTTTTGGAGAGATTTTAGCTGTAGAGGGTGTGCACTAGCCAGAAAGACAGAGACAGAGAGACAGAAAGCGAGAAATCACTCCCCAGGGGGAAGGGGGGATGGCCACACCGTAATCTCTTCTCCAGTCTCCTCTCGGGATCTTGGGCACACATGCACACGTGCCTGGTGTGAGTTTAAGCCACCAGGTCCGGGATTTGAAGTGTGGTCCACTGGTCCACTACATGGGAGTCCAGTGACATAGCCATTACACCAACGGCTGGTCCCAGCCCGGCCCTTGTTTTTTTTTTTTTTTTTGTTTTTGCTATAGGGCTCGTGTGCTTGCCAGAAAGAGAGAGACAGAGAGACAGAAAGCAAGAAATCACCCCCCAGGGGAGATGGCCATGCCTGCAATCCCTTCTCCTCCATTCTCCTCTCGGGTTCTTGGGCACGTACGCACACGCGCCCGGCGTGAGTTTTAAGCCACCGGGTCCAGGACGCGAACCGCAGTCGACCATGTGGGAGTCCAGCGACATAGCCATTACGCTAACTGCTGGTCCCTTCAAATGTATTATTTAACGAGGATTCTCCAGCCATCATCTACTGTTGGCTTGATGGTCACTCCTCTTCTTATTTGACCACAACCAATTAAACACCAGTGTTTCTCAATTCTTTGGCTAAGGGCGATTTTTTCTACTTCTGTGCACACAGGATTAGTCAAAACAATTTTACCCAAGTCAGCCTTGACAGCACTAACTCTCCCTCCTGCCGACAGGGATCCTGTGTTCACCAGAAACCCTTCCTTCTCAGCTTCTGCTTCGTCGCTTTCTTGTCTCCCGTAGTACATCCATCTAGGAGGCGCTGAGCAAGAAATAGATTTCCAGTTCTGTAAAGCTCTCAGATAGTGGTCCAACTGCACCAAGTACCTGCCCCACCCTGTCAGCCCGCCACCAAGTGGGGTCAATTTTTGTTCATTGGACCCCCACGTAGTCAACCGCTGTTCAAGTCTCAGACCCGGTGGCTTAAACTCATGCTAGGCATGTGTGTGTGTGTGCCCAAGATCCCGAGAGGAGAATGGAGAAGGGATTTCGGCGTGGCCATCCCCCCCCTGGCGGGGGGGGGTGTTCTTGCTTTCTGTCTCTCTGTCTCTCTCTGTCTGTCTGGCGAGCGCATGTGCCCTGTGGTAAAAACCTCTCCAAAAAAAAAGAAAAAAAAAAAAGACCTAATAACAATAAGTCAGAGTTCTGAAGTAAAGTCTCATGGGGGGGCTGAAATTTTTTTTACTATGAACTCACAGACAACCTCGATATTGTATTTCAGCTGAGCAGAAATTGGAGTAATGGTAAATTAAAATAAATAAATAAAGTTAAATAATTCTTTTCTTTTTTTGGAGAGATTTTCACTGTAGGGCGCGTGCGCTCGCCAGACAGATTCTTTTTTTGACCTGTTGGTCTTAAAAACTTAATCTTGGGGCTGGCAAGTGGCGTGGGGGGTTAAGGGCGCCAGACTCCCACATGGCCGATCACGGTTCGAGTCCCGGACCTGGTAGCTTGCTTTCTCACTTTCTCCCTCTCTGTCCTTCTCTGGTTAAATTAAAATAAATAAATAAAGTTAAATAAAACAATTCTTTAAAAAAAAAGAAATTGGAGTAATGAGAGCCCCTTCTGCTACTGTACCTTGCACAAATGCAAGGATCTGTTCATATTGTTCCTTGTTTTTTTTTTTTGCTCGAAGCCTCCGGTCTGTTGCGGAGGAGCGAGCTGGACGCCACTGTGGGCTCTTAGAGTCCTGAATTCTTACTGGGTGGGTGCAGATTCCACATACACATTCTTCAAGGTTATCCTCATTGATCCATTCCATAAAGCTATCAGAAGAAACCCCGACACCCAGTGGATTACCAAACCAGTCCACAAACACAGGGAGACGTGTAGGCTGACGTTCGCAGGCCGCAAGAGCCGAGGCCTTGGAAAGGGCCCCAAGTTCCACCACATTACGGGTGGCTCTCGCCCCTGCAGCTTGGAGAAGGCGCAATACTCTCCAGCTCCACCGTTACCGCTAGTCTAAGAAATGTTTGTAAAATTCATACCTAATAAACGATTTAGGACAGTCCAAAAATAAATAAATAAGGGGCCAGCAGGTGGTGTGTTGGTTAAGGGCGCTGGACTCCCACATGGTCAACCATGGTTTGAGTCCCAGACCTGGTGATTTGCTCTCACTTTCCCTTTGTCTCTCCTTCTGTCTCTTTCGCCAAAACATTTTTGAAATTAATTTACATTCAGTCCCTGAGTATTATCACAGCATACAAAATGTGATTTCCCATCCAGAATATGCTGCATAATATGGCTTAATCATACATGTTATCAATAATTTTCCATTTCTAGTTTCATATGTGTATGTGTGTGTGTGTATTTTACCCCTATTTATGACCCTCTGCCATTTCCCACCCTCTTCCCACACTATCCCTGGTGTCTACAGCTGTTTTCCATTCCTTTTTCCTCCACATTTTATTCATTTGCAAAATTTCTCTTTCTTTCTTTCTTTCTTTCTTTCTTTCTTTCTTTCTTTCTTTCTTTCTTTCTTTCTTTCTTTCTTT